TCAGATCAATTGTCTCAGGCCCAAGTTAGCAGTGCAGGAGTTCTTCAGGATAGATATTTTTAAAATCAATCAACCTGCTCCAACATGTTATGACATACCTCTGGAGTAGGTGCAGCTTGCTGAACCATTGATCATCAACATCCTGGGGGCTACCACTGTCAAGAAACCCAACTGCAAATGCCATGTAAAAACTAGGGCTAGAACTGGAGGTAGAGTTTGGTAAACCTGTGGCAAATAAGTTCTGTCCTGATTTCCCAATTCAGCGTACGGTGTATCAGGAACTTTCAGAGGTGTGGCAGAATACTTTCCACATGCCTGGAAAAATGCAGCTCCAACAACACTCAAAGCTTGATACTATTCAAGACAAAAGCAGTCTGCCTGAATGGCTCCCCCCATCCATCACCTCCACCACGGATGGACAGCTGCATTTATACATTTATAAAAAGGACTGAAAAACTCAAAGCTCCTGAGTTAGCATATTCCAAACACACAACCTTTGTCACATAGAAGGACAACTGAACATGATCCGAAATTCCCATCCAAGCCATCCTGATTTGGAACTATATTGCTATTCATTCACTGTCACTTAGTTAAAATTCTGGAACTCCCTGCCTAACATAGCACTGCGGGTGCAGCTACACCTGAGGGACTGCAGTCATTCAAGAAAGTAGCTCACCAATGCCTTCTCAAGGGCAATTAGAGGTGGGCAGCCAACGGTCTTACCAGTGACACCCAAATCCATTGAAAATGAATAGTTGTGAGTAACATACTTGACACTCAAGTTGACATGTATGGTTGTTCACTGAAAAACTTAACTGAATTGTGACCTGGTTGCAGATCCTTACTTTGTGTACTTGTTATTATATGAAAATGTTAGTTAATTCTTAAAGTCAGTTCACAGAATGTATATGTTGTGATCAGGCCAACATTAATCAATCCCAAGAATTTTTCAGGTGAGACGCCATCTTAACTATACAGTCCATGTGGTGCAACTAGCGATGCCACTGTGTTGAGTAGGGAGCTTCAGGATGTCTGTCTGACAATAAAGAAATGATACTGCATTTCCAAATCAGGATGGTGTCAAGATTTGGACTGTAACTTGGAGGTGGTGGTAGTTTTCTCAAATACCTACCGCAAGTCTATGCAGGATGGTAAAGGCCATGAGTTTGAAGATGCAGGTGTTTAGGCAAGTTGCTGCAGCACATCTTCTCGATGGGATATACTGTAGCGACATTTGTGCAGTGAAGGTAATCAGTGTTGAGAAAGACGGATGGGCTGAAAAAGACGGATGTCCAGAACCAGGGGTCACAGTATGAGAATTCGGGGTAGATTATTCAGGACAGAGATGAGGAGACATTTCTTCATCCAAAGAGTGGTGAGCCTGTGGAATTCATTACCACAGGAAGTGGTTGATGTCAAAACATTGAATGTATTCAAGAGGTGACTAGATATCGCATTTGGGGCAAATGGGATCAAAGGTTATGGGAAGAAAGCAGGATTAGGCTATTGAGTTGGATGATCAGCCATGATCGTGAAGAATAGTGGAGCAGGTTCAAAGGGCCAAATGGCCTCCTCCTGCTGCTATCTTCTATGTTTCTATATTTTGTCCTGGATGACGTTAAGCTTCTTCAAAGTTGTTGGAGTTCCATTGGATCCAGGCATGTGGGGAGTATTTCAGCACATTCTTGATTGGTGCTCACTAAATGGTGGAAAGACTTTGTACAAATAAGATGCAAGTACTCAATACAAAATACCCAGTTAACAAACTGCTCTCATAGCTACGATATTTGTATACAGGAGCTCTCCTATAATGCGATAGTTGCATTCTTGTGTGACCTTGCTCTTTGGAAAATCCTGTTATAGGGAAATCGCTATACCTGTACAGCAGAAAGTTCGTGTTATCCAAAAATGTCCGCTATTCATAAATTGCGTTACAGCCAATTCGCATTAATGAAACACGCGTTTTGGCAGAACTACCCGTAGTTGACCCTGGTAAGTTTTTGGCCACTGGTAACCTCGTGATATTGACTTCTATAACATTACTGTTGAACATTAAAGAGACAGTCATTGCCTGGCAATGACTTGGCACAAATGTCATTTACCACTAATCAGGTGCACATTGGCACAGTGTGTGTTATCTGAGGAATTCCAAACAGAACCAGACATACTGCATTATCAGTGAATATCCCCAGTTCTGAGAAGGATGGTCATTGATGAAAATGGTTGGGACACCACACTATCGAGGAACTCCTATAGTAACATTCTGAAAGTGAGACGATTAGCCTCCAACAACCCAACCACATTTCTTGTGTTAAGCACAATAACAACCATTGAAGAATTACCCTAATTTTTACTGACATGGATTTTATTCTGGCTTCTTGATGTCACAGTAGTCAAATGCTGCCAGACAGAATGGAAATAACAGGCATTCAGAGCAAGATTTTTAAAAAAAAATCAGAATATGTGTGCCCTGGCAGAACTTAAATGAAGTCTTGGAAAGGAGAATATTGGCAAATGTTACTTGGTAGCACCGCTAATGACCCCAGATAGACACAAATCATAATTGGCTGGGTTAGACTTGTTCCATACTGTGGACAGGACATACTGGACATTTTTTTACTTTGTGGATCAGATGTTAGCCACATAGTTGCACTGCAATAGTTTGGCTAGAGGTATGTTGAGTTCTCGAGTCAGTACCAGCCATGCTTGTAGTAGGCCTCTCTACAAGCTCATAAATGTTCGTGGGTTCAAGTATGACAATACTTCCCTCCTCCATACTGGAGCACAAAAATCTAGGCTGACTCTCCACTGCACCACTGAGTAATTGTTATACCATTGAGGTAGCCATCTTACAAATGGATGGTTAAATTTAAACCTGTACAGGTGGTGGAGGCAGAAACCCTCAACATTTAAAAGTATTTGAACATGCACTTGCAATGCCAAGGTAGACAAGGCTATCGGCCGGCCAAGTGCTGGAAAACATGATTAGAATATTCTGGTGATGGTGTCTGTGCTAGTCAAAAATAATGGGCCGAAAGATCTTTTTCTCGGTTGTAGATCTCTATGACTCTATCCATCACCTCAATTAAACAGGTAAGATCTCATGATGCTATTTCAAAGCACTGCTGTCGTATTAATCCCTAGTGTTCTAGCCAATACTTGTCCCTTAATTGTTTTTAAAATGTGGACACTTTTACATTGTATTTTGTAGGAGCATGCTGCAATTTCCTACCTCAGAGACAATATCTCTTTGGTTTTAAGCACTTTGCCTTTCTTGAGCTTCTGGTGTCCCTTTTTTTTGAAAAGCATTACAGCCTGGATTTTGTCCTGGCTCAATCTTTGTTGTAATCAGTGCACTCACCTTCTTTTTCAATATCACACTATATGCCACAATATGAAATTACAGAGGGAGTGATATGCAAACAAAGAATAGAAATGTTGGAGCATTATGATCTGCAAAAGTAGTGAGTAGGAGGAAATTATTGGGGGCGTGGGAGGGGGCGTACAGTTATCTAATACGTGCCAGTAGTACAGGGCAATTTAAAGAATAAATCTGAAGAAGTTGTCAGGAACTTGTTTGGATCTGATATACTACTGGAAAAATCTACACCAACAGGCAAATAAACAGTAGGAACATTGCTTATATAATCCTATTCAAAAGGTGCACATTCCACACTTTTTGAGAAGGCTAATTCGATTTCTCGTAGAGAAAATTCGAGTCATCGAGATGTCAAATTATCTAAATGGTGCACAGATTCCGTACCCCAGGGGCCTTTGATACGCCTCAAAACTCCAACGGGTACGAAAGATTCAGCGCAAAACCCACCGAAACGAACTTCAGACTTTCTGAATAAAAAAAAACGAAAGAACTGCCGATGCTGAAATCAGAAACAAAAGCGTAAGTTGCTGAAAAAGCTCAGCAGGGCTAGCTGCATCTCTCAGAACAGTTCTGAGGAACGGTCACTGGACCCAAAAGGTTAACTCTGACTTCTCTCCACAGAAGCTACCAGACCTGCTGCGCTTCTTTTTGTTTCAGACTTTCTGGATCCCGTTGCGTGTTTGCGTTCCTTTCAACTGCGACCTCATCGCGAAAGCTCTCAAAACTGAACACTTTCAAAGCATCACCCTACCCTGACCAATAACATAACCGATACACGGGCGAGAGCAGCGGGGGCATCATGCAGAACGGGCGTTCATAATGGACAGTGACCCAGGGGAATGTGCGGAAACGAACCGAAACCCTCGAGGGGAGACCCGTGTCCCTTGGAGCCACCCGAACAGATCGGCGGTACCTAGCCCATCAGCGCAATCGCCCTGACCGGTTATAGTCAGACTGACAGGCCTTCTCGCCATGGAGACGGTGGACAGGAAGCGGCAATAACAACGCGGCCACCTTCCTTCCCTCCCTCGGGAGCCGCCTTCACTCACCGGAGAAATGGCATATAGACGCGGTGATGTTTCCAGGACAGGTCGTGTTGCCGACCCGGGGGACTAGGCCCAAGCTCAGGATCTGATGCACCGTCAAGCCGCCGCCGATCGGCATGGCTCAGCCATCAACGCAGTGCCGACCATCTAGTGCGACGGGAAGCCCGAATCGGCCTTCAATAACAACGTCGCCATCACAACGACCACCGAGCACAGCAGCCAGCGATGTGGGCGGGGACACCTCCTGATTGACACTCCCGTTCGCCATTTAGAGACGACGCCGCATCGCATGCCCGCACACCAGCCTTGTAATCAAAGCCAATCAGAGCTCGGCACTGATCAGCTCCGCCCTCTTCCCCTCACGTCTGCCGGAAAACCAATAAGATGGCATAAAACTTGACAACGTGAGGAATAACAGCCAATTGTCGCCGAGTATTGGCGAGCCTTCTGACAACCTGTGGTACGTCATTACGATTGATGTGCAGCGTGGCCAATAAGATCTCATGATGTCACAAAAGGGCGAAGGCTAGTGGGACTGAAGATGGATCGCCTTGATTTAGTAGAGTCTTGAAATTCTGGTCGGCTGATTCGGCACTCATTCTATTTCAAACAATCTCATGATAACTACGTTATTGTCTCTGCCTGTCCTATTTGTGAGATGTTGCAGGTCTTTTTCCCTGAGCCAAGTGACGCTCTGGGAGCTCTAGAGTACCGAGACAGTTGTGTTGAATGTGTTGTGGTGAAGCGGTGACTGGATCTGGTAGCAGCCGCTATTTGACCTGGTGGAGGGGGAGGGGGTCTCGAGTGCATCCGGAGGCCGGGCACCGGGAACCTACTACCCCCGCAGGAGTCATGTCGGATTCCGAGTCTGAGAATTACTCGTCGGAGGAGGATGAGGATTACGAGCCATCAGGTGATGGTGGGTCTTTGCTGTCGATCCGCTCACTAACAGTTAGAGAGCTGTGAGGGTGAAAGCTACCACACAAACACCAGTAACACACTTGCTCGGCTGTAAATCCCAAACCATCGCACACCAGAACAAACTTGGGAGTGCTGAGTCTTTTTTCCACCCCGAAATACCCTATATCCTCGTTTGCAGTTGTGATCTGGTGGTTGAGATATTTGAATTGCCGCTGTTTCTAATAGAGCCAGTCCAGTTTTTGAAGTTCTGACTATTATTGGGTGCTTTGTAACTGGATCCTGGACACAACAGCACGCCAATGGAAGGTCTTTATGGCCCTTCGTGACTGTGCCAGTCAACAGGGTTTCCTTTGCTCACCCAACTTTCCGACTCCTGGACTTAAATTTACAGGGTTAGAAGCTAAATTTTTAAGTTTATTTAAACGCGGTAAGAGTTTCTGCACGTGCCGCCCCCTTTTTTTTCAAGCAGCGGGGTCTGGACTCGGGCCGCCCTCTGGATGAATGGTTTGAATGCAAATATAGACAGTGTGGTGGTGAATTTAAAAGGTGATCCGGAGGAAAGCAAAGAGACACTATCAAAATATTATTATTAGCAAGGAAAACACAAATATGTGTCCGAAGAACCTGAAGGAAAAGGATAGCGAGGGAGACAGTAGGGCTAATGAAGGTCCAAAAACCTTATGGAGAGGTGCTAGGCACCCTCGAAGGAAAGACCAGTAAAACTTGCGAATGATGTATACAGGTCCAACTTGTTTGAGTACTTCGGAGCAATGCTCCAGTATGACCAGTAGGTTAATTTCCAAGTACAGTATTACTGTTTTCTTTCTACTCTGGGATTGGCATAGTTCTAAATTAATTCTTTTGAGTTTGCTTTAACCATAGAAGGAAATATATAGACATTGTAGCTAAAGATAAATGAATAGTTGCATGGTCGCTGGGCTAATAATCTAGAGGCCCAGCTAATGTGGGAATTTTTGTTGATGACTGTACAATGTTCATCACCTTCTGTGACTCCTCAGATGCTGAAGCAGTCCCTACCTAAATGCAGCAAGACCTGGACAATATTTCAAGTGTCAGACAATGACTACCTCCAAAAAGAAAGAAACTAACCATTGCTTTTTGACATTCAGTAACATTACTGAATCCCATACAACAACACTCTGTTGGTTACCCTTGAACTGAACTGAACTAGCTACATAACCACAGTGGTAACAAGGGCCGGTCAGAGGCTACAAATACTGCAGCGACTAACTCATCTCCTAACTTCCCAAAGTTTGTCCACCACCCTTGTGACACTAGTCATAAGTGTGATGGAATTCATCCCACTTATTTGGAGGAGTGCAGTTCCCACAACATTTGAAGCTTGAGACTACCCAGGACAAAGCAACCCATAAATAGAGTCCAACTTGTCCATGCTGACCAGACATCCCAATCTGCCCTTGTCGCATTTGGCCCATATCCCTCCAAACATCTTCTGCACCCATCCAGAAGCCTTTTAAATGTTGTAATTATACCTGTGTCCACCACTTCCTCCAGCAGCTCATTCCATATAGACACGAACCTCTGTGTGGAAAAAGTTGCCCCCAGTCCTTTTTTAAATATTTTCTGCTCTCACTTTAAACACTCTGTCTAATTTTGGATTCCTCCACCCGGAGGAAAGGATATCTTATCCATGCCCCTCATGAGCTTAAAAACCTCTACAAGGGCAGCCCTCAGCCTCTAATTCTCCAGGGAAGAAAGGTCCAGCCTATTTTGCCTCTCCCAATAAGTCAAACCCTCCAGTCCCAGCAACATCCTCGTAAATCTTCTCTGTACCCTCTCAAGTTTCACAACCTCCTTCCTATAGCAGGGAGACCAGAATTAAATGCAGTATTCTAAAAGTGGCTTCACCAATGTCTTGTACAACCGCAACATGAAGTTCTAACTCCTGTACTCAATGTTTTGACTGGTGCAGGCAAGTGTGCCAAGTGCTGCTTTCACCATCCTGTTTACTTGCAACACCACTTTCCAGGAACTATGCACCTGAACCCCTAGGTCTCATTGTTTGGTAACACTTCCCAGGGTGCTGACACCACCTCTGCAAACATTCATTCTCTCTACCACTGACGCTCAGTAGCAGCAGTGTGTACCATCTGCAAGATGCACTGTAGAAATTCACCAAGACTGCTCAGACAGTATTCTCCATGCCCACAACCACTACTATCTAGAAGGACAAGAGTGGCAAATACATGGGAACCACCCACAAGGTTCCCATCAAGCCACCCACGATCTTGTCTTGGAACTGTATTGCCGTTCCTGCAGTATTGCCTGTTCAAAATCGTGGAACTCCCTCCCTAATGGCATGGTGTGTATATCTACACCAAATGGACTGCAGAGGTTCAAGAAGGCAGCTCACCACCACCTTCAATGCCACTAATGATGCACAATACATGTTAGTCCAGCCGGTGGTCCCACTGTCTATGATTTTTCTTTTCAAAAAGGCAGTATCACTGATAAGTACCCAGCAATGTGTAAAATTGCTTGAGTGTATGTTGTCCACAAATACAGAACAAATCCAACCTAGCCAGTTCCCAACTATTAGTCTACTCTTGATCATCAGCAAAATGATGGATGCTATTGTTGACAGTGACATTTAACAATAAGTTATACTCATGCTCAGTTTGGGTTCCATCGGAGCGGTTTGGCTACATGCCCCAAAATACCTTTGCCCTGATTTCGACTAAAGAACTGAATTTCAATGGTGAGTTGATAGGGACTGTCTCTGCTATCAAGTGTCATAAAGTGAAGTCTGTAGAAATTAGGGGTATGAGGGGAAGCTCTCCCAATTGTTAGAATCACATTATATCCTTGGCCCAGCCATCGTCAGCTGTTTTTTCAACAATCATCGCACCATAATTAAATCAGGAATAGGCAACCTTGATTGTACGGTGTCTATCCATTTTCAACTCCTCAGGTAATGAAGCAGTTTGTGCTGATAAGCAAGACCTGGACAGCATTCGGCTTTGAGTTGCCTGTACAAAGTAAAAGGAGTAGGCCATTCAGCCCCTCAAATCTACTCTGCCGTTCAATAAGACATGGCTGATCTGTGGCCTAATTTCGTATGCCTGCCTTGGGCCCATGTTTCTTGATAGCCTTCCTTAATAAAAATTGTCTATATGAGATTTAAATTTAGCAACTAAGTTCTCACCGACTGCCATTTCAAGAAGAGAGTTCCGAACCTCCTCCTCTCTTTTCATGTGGAAGTGTTTTCTAACATCTCTTTTGAATAGTCTGGCCCTAATTCTTAGACTATTCCCCTAGGTTCTAGAATCCTCAAACTGTAGAAATAGTTTATCTTTATCTACCATGTCTTTGCCTGTTGATATCCTGAAGACCTTGGTTAGATTACCCCTTAACTTTCTAAATTCTGTAGAATAAAGGCCTAATTCGTCTAATCATTCCTCAAACGTAACCACTGAAGTCCAGGTATTGTCCTTGTAAACCTGCGTTGAACTCCCATCAGGGTCAAAACATCCTTCCTAAGTTGTGGCCGGATCTGCTCACAGTACTCTGAAGTGGGCTCGAACTAGGGTTTTGTATAACTGCAGCATAATGTCTACACCCCCATACTCCAGCCCTTTAGATATGAAGGCCAGCATCCTATCAGCCGCCTTGACTATTTTCTGCACCTGTCCATTGCATTTTAAAGAGCTATGCACCTGAACCCCCAAATCTTATTGGACATCCACTGTATTTAACTTTGTGTCTTCTTTAAAACAAACCCTCACTGTCCTTTTTTGGATCAAAATGGATAACCTCACATTTGCTTACATTAAAATCCATCAGCTGCTTTGCTTTCTGACCTCCTTTGAAAATTCGTGCATTTGGAGGCAATGGGCTCCAGATACATATTTTAAGGAATGCGATTTCTAAATTGCACCCATAACCATTTTTCACCCAGCTGGCCACTGATATTCCTGTACATGATGATTGGGACTCCCCGGGATAGTTATGGAGAGCACCATCAATTCCCCTGTCATGATCCCTACTACTACCAAATTCCTTGTCTATCCTCCCTACTGGAATTGCTTCCTGAATAGTAACTACTAATCTGTTCGATAAGGCAAATATTGAGGTTCCTTCAGCACTGCAACTGTTATAAACCATCATCATCAATATTGCTGAAAGCAAATTGGGAACGAGGGAACATGTGCAAGGGTCACTTGATTTGAATTTACACTGCTGCCTTACAGCACCAGGGACCCAAGTTCAATTCCACCCTCGGGCAACTGTCTGTGTGGAGTTTGCACATTCTTCCCGTGTCTATGTGGGTTTCCACTGGGTGCTCCAGTTTCCTCCCACAGTCCAAAGGTGTGCAGATTAGGTGGATTGACCATGGAAAATAGTGGGTTATGGGGATAGGGTCAGGGGTGGGTCTGGATGGAATGCTGTTCGGAGGGTCACTGTACACTCGATGGGCTGAACGGCCTGCTTCCGCACTGGAGGGATTCTATGATTCTAAGTCCAGAAATGGTAGACACGTTAATAAGGTAATTCCCCTTTAATGAGGTGTGAAGTATAGAATCTGTATGGTGTGGAGGCAGGCTGTTCAGCCCATCGACTCCACATTGACTCTCCGAAGACCAGCCCACCAAACACACCACCCCCCCCCACCAATCCCTGTGACCCTGCATTTTCCATGGCTAAACCACCTAGCCTGCACATCCCTGGACAGCATGGACAATTTGGCATGGCCAGTCCACCTAACCTGCACGTCTTTGGACTGTGGGAGGAAGTTGGAGCACCTGGAGGAAACCCACGCAGACACGGGGAGAATGTTCAAATGCCACACGGACAGTCGCGTGAGGGTGGAATTGAACCCAGGTCTCTGGCACTGTCAGGCAGCAGTGCTAACCACTGAGCCACCATGCTGCCCAAAGTACTGATTGGAGTTTCTTGAATTACTTGAAATAGAGTAATTCACATGTATAATGGTGGTTTTAAGTCATCCCTTTTAATGCCTCTAGTTAAGATGAATACTCATGGTCTTTCCCCAATATCGCAGTTGTTCAGGAATAACAAATGCAGTGTAAGTGGTGGAGATTGTATTGACAAGCGGTTTCAGACTGGTAACTGGTTATAGATTTTGATATATAAGAAGCATGTCTACCAACAGTACATTGCCACATTTTCTAAATAAAATGAACAGTTTCCTTGTAGATGTATCTAACATTGGTTTTGTGATGTCCATTGGGTAATTGCAAAAAGAGTAAGTGTGATGCCTCCTTATTTTTCAACAGATGAAGATTACAGCGAAGATGATGTCAATGACCTAGTGAAAGAAGATAATTTAGATGAAGATGAACAACCCCAGAGAAATAAGTGTTTGAAGAAGGCAGGAAAAAGGTAATTGGGTTTTGCATTATGGGATAGCGAGTTTGGCAAAGCCTTCAGGTGGCAATGATAGTGTTATCTCTCTTTAAAAACCCAAATTGGAACTTTCTGATTCTAACTTAGGATGGGTTTGCACCATCATCAACAGTGACAATGCCAGCATGCTCCTCCACTCTCCAATTCCCTGCCTAAACTTGTCTGTTCCTTTTAGCATTCACCATCTCCAAAATCTGTCTCCTTGTTCGCCAATCATTTCCTTAACTCTTTTCCAATTCTTCCACAGTGTCTGTGATCTCTGTACCTGCTTTTATAAAATGTCTGTCAATATTACACTCCATAAAAGATGCTGTGGAGCTGTACGTTGGAGTTTACATACATCACTTTATGAGCCTGCACATCCATTTGTTAACCAATTATGAGTCACTCCTTAACCTCTCCATTGGTTGTCATTAAGTCTAAATTCTGAGCTTTTATGCTATATTCTCTGCCAATTTTTAATGTAATATAAAGCTTCTGAAGTCCCCACTCCCCCTCTGCATGTTTACCCTTGTTCTGTGCCTTCTCTAATTCTCTTCACTGTTCCTACCCTTCTGACTACAGGAGTAACATCAGTGACATCTGAGCTTTGTGTTTTCATTGAATTTAGCCAACCTTGTATGGATGCCCCAAAAGAGATCTCATGCATAAGAGAGCTGTACTTCCAACCTTAACTTCCAGGCTCTTGTTTGACAGAAAAAGAAACCAAGAGGAATTGTGTTTGCAGCGTGATGATGCTGGAGGAGGGGAGGCTGACCATCTTACTGACGCGACGGTAGATGAGGATTTGAAAGAAAAGAAGAAAGCTGACGATCTCTGGGCCAGTTTCCTGAGTGATGTCGGGCATAAGCCTAAATCTGTAGTCACCACTCCAGCTTCCAGCAAAGAGGTAGTAACAAACAGAGCTATGTCATAAAACTCAGAATAAATGTAATCAACAGGTACAGGATGTTTAGGGAATAGAAGAAAATATTGAAAGCTGGCCTTGCAAGCTATTTATGGCGTGCGTTTATACAATGCCTTTAATAGAGTAAAACATTCCAAGCCACTTCATGAACATATTCAGATGAAAATTGACAGAGTCAAAAAAAAATACACTGGGACAGATGATCAAATGTTTAAGCTAAAAATTAGTATTTTTGGAAAGGTATTTAAAACGGGAGAAAGAAGTGTAAGGGTTAAACTCAAGAATTCCAGAGTTTCATAGGTGGTTGAAGGCTACCTTCAATGATAATGGAAAGCGAGTGTGCGATGCTTGGATGAGTCCAAATTTGTCCAAATTAGTGTTCTAGGGCTGGAGGAGGCTGCAGGGCTGAAAAGGGATGAAGCCATAGAAAGTGCGAACATGAGAATGATAATTACAACACAAGATGCTGAGGAACCAGGTGAAAATGTAAGACAGTGTACAGGAATTATTGCAATTTAGGACGTCGGTGAAGAGATTCAGATAACTTTAGGTTAATGATAAGTGGAAAATAAGAAGGCAGCCAGAATAGCATTGCTACAGTAAAGACGGGCCAACAAAAGGATGAGACTTTGAAACAAGTGAGCTGAATTAGGGATGGAGATAGGTGATAACATCAGGACATGAGTAGGTGGTCTTAAGAGAGGATGTGGACTCAGATATTGAAGGTAAGAAAAATGCTGACGTTTCAAACAGTCCCATTCTGTCTGAAATACTGACCATATTGGAGGGGGTTGGAGTGGCCGGTGGGTTGAATGTGAAAGAGGTGGCTGGGGATTAGGATGTAGGAATAGACTATTTAGTCATTCAAGACTGTTCTTTTTAGAGGCGCAGCCTCCACTATCTTTATGTTACTCCCTCGATTTCTGCTTCAGTTCAGAAGTACTCCAACATCATGATTGCATTATTGTGTATACTGCAACTGAAACAATTAGACCTTACATGGTCATTGAGCAATAATATCTCTCAAGTCATTCTCATCCCTGGTTCCCATTTTGTGGATCTCAAGAGCTGAGCTTTGTAATTTTGGCAAAAGGTTTTAAATTTTTGCCGTTGGGTGTAGAATTTTTGAACATGTAGGTTTGAAGCTGGAGTCAGAAGAAATATTTTTACCCCAGTAGTGACTGAGTGAAGTGCAGTTGGTGCTACAGTACTTGTTAGGATTTCGTCATCCATGTACATGCAAACTGAATAAAGGAATTTTGATAAATTTCAGAACAAAGTCACAGAAGATCAAAACATCATCTTCAATCTGTCAAACTGCCAGTGTTTTAAAACGGTTATTCTACTGCTTCACATTTGACAAGGGAGAAACAGTTTGTTCGAACATTACTATACAAGTGATTGAAACAGATTTTGAAAGCTACAGTAAATTATTACGGTTATTTATAGCATCATACAGCATGGAAACAGACTCTTCGGTCCAACTCATTCATGCTGATCAAGTTTCCCAAACTAAACTAGTCCCACTTACTTGAGTTTGGCCTATATCCCTCTAAACCTTTTCTATTCATGTACCAATCCAACTGTCTTTTAAATGTTGTAACTGTATCTGCAGCCACCACTTCCTCCAGTACTGATGCCTGTGTCACTGTGCTAGTTACATGTGGCCATCCTGAAAATGCCCCCCCTTATTCCAACTCTCTGACCTGTATTAGTTAGCCAATCCTCTAACAATGCTAATATACTATTCCACTATGGCTGTTATCATTTAAATTGCCTAATTTTTAAAAAAAATATTTGTACATCCACTCTGAGTATAATTACCCAAATAGCTGCCCTGCAATGCTGCCATATTCTTAACCTTCCAGTCCTGGCAACATTCTTGTAAATCTTTTCTGAACCATCTCCAATTTAATAATATCCTGCCTATAGCAGGGCAACCAGAATGGTACACAGTATTCCAAAAGTAACCTCGCCCAAGTCCTATACAACCTCAACATGACATCCCAACTCCTTTACTCAATGGTCTGAGCCATGAAGGCAAGTGTGCTAAATGCCTTCTTAACTGCCCTGTCTACCTGTGATGCAACTTTCAAATAACTGTACCTGAACCCCTAGGTCTTTCTGTTTCACAACACTAAAAAAGGCCCTACTGTTAACTGTATAAGTCCTGCACTTGTTCGTTTTATCAAAATGCAATGCCTTGCATTTATCCAAATTTAAGTTCATCTGCCAATCCACAGCCCATTGGCCCAATTGATTGAGATGTCTTTGTAATCTTGGATAACCTTCTTCACTGTCCACTATACCACCAGTTGTGGTGTTACCAGCCAACTTAGTAACCATGCCTATTGAATTTTCATCCAAATTGTTTATACAAATGACAAACAACAGTGCACCCAGCACCGATCCCTGCGGAGCACCACTGGTCACTGGCATCCCGTCCAAAAAACAACCCTCCACCACTACCCTCTGTCTCCTTCTGTCAAGCCAATTTTTTTGTCTAATTGGTAAGCTGTCCCTGAATCCCATGTAATCTAACTTTGCTAACCAGTCTACCATGTGGAACCTTGTCAAAGGCTTTACTAAAGTCCACTTAGACAACATCTACTGCTCTGTCCTCATCTATCCTTTTGACTGTATCTTCAAAAAACTCAACTGAAATTTGTGAGACGTGATTTCCCAAGCATCAAGTCATTTTGACTATCCCTAATCAGTCCTTGCCTCTCCAAATACGTATAAATCTTACCTCCTCGAATCACTTCCAACAACTTACCCACCGTTTATCCGAGAAGAATATCTGTCTGAAATGCTGTGCAATTCTAAATCGTGAAAATCTTGATACCTACAGGTAGCTCTCATTCATTATTTGGCTTTTTCCTCTGTGGAGTTGCTTTGTTTAAAGCTGATAATCAGAGGCAGCATATAGGCTGATGGATGTCCATTTAAGTGTGCATGGTCATTATTGACCATAAGCTTGTCTTTATTGAAATTAACACTGGATTCAAACTAGGTTATGTGTATAGATGGTCACTGAAGAAACTTTGGTACAAGAGCACAAGAAACAGGAGCAGGAGTGGACTAAATGCTGCAGACTAGGAAGGTTTTGCTTTTTTCGTATGATCATGGCTGATCTTGGACTTCAGCTACACAAGCCCATCCACTCAATATCTGTTGGTGCTTTGAGAGATCAGAAAGCTGTCTGTCTCACCCTTAAATATACTAAATGATTGAGTATTAACAACACTGTGGGATAGAGACTTAGAAAAGTTAACAGGGTGTGAAGGTCCTGGTTTTGGACTGGGGTGGACAAGGTCAGAAGTCACATGACATCAGGTTACAGTCCAACAGGTTTATTTGAAATCACAAGCTTTCGGACCACTGTTCCTTCATCAGGTGGAGTGACAAAGGAGCAGCACACTGAAAAATTAACAGCCCTTTGAGTGAAGCAACATATCCTGATATCTATCCTAAATGATCATTGACTTATCCTGAATCTGTGTTCTTTAAGTGCATAGTATTAAAGAACTTAAACATTGCTAAAAGGAGTTAAAACATCGAAGCTTTTTGTCTTACACTCATCAGAACTAAGACACAAGAAACAGACTTGTCAAACAGGGATGCCATTTTACACAGCATAAGAATAGGTAGCTGATTGGTTGGCCATCATAACCTGGAGATGCAGCAGGAACAGTTAACCACCAATCTTAATTTTCAGAATCTTCTGGCCTGGTTTGATTGGTCAGGGTGTTGCCATGGGAATACAGAAAGTGACTGTCTCCGTGACCCCTTTGTTATATTAAAAACAAGATGCAATGTATGTGCAAGTTTCTTTTGTTGATGTGAAACTGTGTTCTGTGCTCATACATAGAATCATAGAGATCTACAGCACAGAAACAGATGCTTTGGTCCAACACCTCCATGCTGACCAGATATCCTAAATAAATCTAGTTTCATTGCCAGCATTTGGCCCATATCTCTCTCAACCCTTCCTATTCATGTACCTATCCAGATGCTGTTTAAATGTTGTTACTGTACCAGCCTCCGCTTCCTCTGGCAGTTCATTCCGTACACGCACCACCCTCTGCCTGAAGAAGTTGCCCCTTCGATCCCTTTGAAATCTTTCCCTCTTAACTTAAACCTATGCCCTCTAGTTTTGGACTTGCCCACCCTGGGGAAAAGACCTTGTGTATTTACCCTATCCATGCCCCTCACAATTTTATAAACCTCTATAAGGTCACTCCTCAGCCTCTGATACTGCAGGGAATATAGCCCAGCCGATTTGGCCTCTTCCTACAGCTCAAACCTTCCAACCCTGGCAACATCCTTGTAAATCTTTTCTGAATCCTTTCAAGTTTCACAACATCTTTCCTATGGCAGGGAGAGCAGAATTGATGTAGCTTCTCGCAAGCACAAATGCATCACGTTGTGACCCCAACTGATTTTAAATCGATTTCTGGTGTGACTCTTAGTGGAGTCTGTATTAGTTTAATAAATTATTTCAAATCATGGATTTACACCTAATGGTGGACACACTTCACTTAGGCTTGCAAACGTGGGTTGGTTTAGCACGATCAGCATGCTGATACTGTGAATGGTCAACAGGGCATGTTGCTTGATATCTTCTTGGGACATATGATGAACATACCTGGCATCATAGCGCACTGAAACTCTTCAATGAATTTAAATAAATGAATTGTGAAATAAAGCTGCAGTGGTGGTCTATGTCTCCATTAAATTAGCCTGGGTCTCTGAATGACTAGTTTAGTAACATTTCCAACCTAATTGTTCCCACCCCAGCACTCAACCAATATTCTGATTATATTAATAAATTGTACTGCTTTTTGATAGAGGTGAACTATCAGTACAATTTGTCTTAAACTTTGCATGAAATAGATCCAAAACATTTCCAAATTTTGAAAATTTATTTTGTTTCAAGCGATGACAAGATGTAGGTGCATAACTAGGCTGTATGGCCCACCAAGTCTGTTGGACCAATCAAAGAAATCACAGCTAATCTGATAATCCTTTGCATTTGTAATTCTTATCATTAAGACTGAATATTGAAGTAATTTCTGTCCAACTTTTAACTACATCCTATGAATGACAGGAGAATACTTATGTTTAGCAATATAAGACAACTGAATTATGCTTATTCATGGAACATTTTTGATGAAGACAGAATTATTAATAAGTTGGTCAACATGCAAACAGTTATTAAAAACATATTATATGATAGGTAAACTCGGACAGCAGTTGCACTGTAGTGTATTTCCTACCGAAGTTGTTTTGATTTTACAGTCATTAACATACATAATATCTGCTGCTTATGTAAACATATCTAATCAGTTTTCTTATTTCTCCTGAATAGGGCATACTAGTAGGGAAGTTGAGCAAGCCTGAGGATACGGTGAAAGACCCAGAGAAACCAAAAGCACCTGGAAAAGTCACAATCACAAAGGTGTTTGACTTTGCTGGAGAAAAAATCAAGTAAGTTGTTTTAATTGGTAGTGTTAACAAGAAATTGCAATGTAACAATAAAGCAGACATGAGGTTTGAAAGTGACTCGTTCTTGTCCAGATTGTCCTAGTTGCTTTTGTATAATATAAGACACAAGAGTAGACACTCGAACCCATCAAGTCCACTCCGCCATTCAATGAGATTATGGCTGCATTGATAATCCTCAGCTCTGCATTCCTGCCTTTTCTCCATAGTCTTAAATTCTCTTCCTGATTAAAAAAACGTGTCTTAGCCATAAATATTCTGAACGACACAGTCTCGACATATCTTTGTGATAAAGACTTCCGCAGATTAACTCCTTTGAGAGAGGGAACATTCCTTCTTCGTCTTAAATGGCCACCCCATATGCTAAGATTCTGCCTTCTCGTCCTAGACTTTTTCACAAGGGGCTAGGTCTTCATAACTGCCCTGTCGAGCTCCCTCTAAGTTTCAGTAAGGTCCCCTTTCATTCTTCTCAACCCCAGTGAATACAAGCCCAACCTGTTAAATCTCATCTCATAAGAAAATCCCTCCATACCTGAATCAACCTGAATTTGTCTAAATTGTCTCCAATATCTTTTCTTGGATAATGGACCAAAACTGCTTACAATATTCTAGGTGTGGCCTATTTAGGTCTTTTGTATACTTTTACCAAGACGTTCCTATTTTTACACTCCATTCCTTTGAAATAAAGACCAGTGTTTTATTTGTCTTCCCTATTACTTGGTGAACTTTATGCTAGTTCGTTGTGATTCACACAAGGACTCCCAAATCCCTCTTCTGTGTCTTTCTGCAATCTTTCTCCACTCAAATGCATTCATCTTCTCAATTATTCCTGCTAAAGAACTTAATGTCAAATTTTCCCACCTTAAATTACATTTGCCAACTTTTTGCCTGATCATTTAACCTGTCTATATCCCTGTCAAGATTCTTTGTGTCATTTTCACCAACTGCCTTTCCACCGATTTTTGTGCGGATCATCTGCAGATTTGTAAATAGTATACTCACTTCTCTCATCCAAGTTATTAATGTTGCATCTCCCAACCCCGTGACCACCACCATTTAGGAAGGACAAGGACAGCAGATACATGGGAACATGACCACCTGCAAGTTCCCCTTCAAACCATGCACCGCCCTGATTGGACATGTATTGCCGTTACTTCAGTGGTACTGAGCCAAGATCCTGGAACGCCCTTCCTAATGGCATTGTGGGTATACATGCACCTAATGGATTGCAGTTGTTCAAGAAGGCAGCACACCATTACCTTCTCAATAGCAACTAGGAATGAGCAATAAATGCTGGTCTAGTCAGCGACGCCCACATCCCCATGAAAGAATAAAGAGGAAAGAAATATGTTTGCAGAAGTACTGATCCCTGTGCACTCCACTAGTTACAGGTTGCCATCCTGGAAATGTCACCATTATCTTGACTCTGTTTGCTATTAGTTATCCAATCCCCTATCCATGCTAATATACTAACCCCAACAGCCTGCACAGGCTGTTATCTTATCGCGTATCCTTGTGCAGTACCGTGACAAGTACCTTCTTAGAAATTAAAATACATTACATCTAGTAATGTAGGGCCGGCACGGTGGCTCAGTAGTTAGCACTGCTGCCTCGCAGCACCAGGGACCCGGGTTTGATTCCAGCCTCAGGCGACCGTCTGTGCGGAGTTTGCACATTATCCCCGTGTCTGCGTGAGTTTCCTCTGGGTGCTCCGGTTTCCTCCCGCAGCCCAAAGATATGCAGGCTAGGCGGATTGGCAATGCTAAATTGCCCATAGTATTCAGGGATGTGTAGATTAGGTGGGTTATGGGGGATGGGTCTGGGTGGGATGCTCTGAGGTTCAGTGTGGACCTGTTGGGCCGAAGGCCCTGTTTCCACACTGTAGGGATTCTAAGATATGATTATTATTTCGCCAGCCTCATTCTCTAAGGAACCCATATTCACTTTGGCACCTCTTCCTTTTAATACATTTTGAAGAAGCTCTTTACTCTCTGTTTTGTTATTACTTTCTAGTTTACCTTGGTAATTTATTTTTCCCCTGTTTATTATGTTTTTGGTCAGCTTTCATTGGCTTTTAATCATTCTGATTTACCACTAATCTTTGCTTAACCATGGTTTGTTTAACCCCTCCCTGGAATCCTCCTCCTTCACTGGAATATGTGGCTATGATATTTTGGATTAATCTCCCCTGTATCTGTAGTTTTAAGAGTTCTTGGATATCAGTTAGTTGCAGTTCATTAGGGGAACTTAGCAGATCGCCAGGTAATTGCAGATATCAGAAAAGCTAAATCAATATATTTTTAAACACCTTGAAGTGGGTCAAATTCTCTAAGTAATTTTATAAATCAATACTTTGGCTTTAAAAGACTGTTTTGACATGAATGTGATTGAAAAATAATTTAAGACAGGACATGATATTTGTCACATGACTGTCTTTGGGGTTTTGAATTTTATTTGCTTGTTTAATGCTACAAAGGACTTTGAGGGTATTTGATTTGAGCATTTTATTCAAGTCAGCAATGCCAACTCTAGTGAAAACACTGCTGATTGCAATGCATACAATGTACTATTTTTCTAAATTGTAAGACAGTGATATAATCTATCCAAGTAATTCTGTCCCAAAGAACAAATAGCAAATTCCCTGCTGAGCTGGTGGTTTATGGACAAGATTATTGTGGAATACGGAATTTTCTTTTTGTAATAGGCTGTCTGATAACTAACTAACTTGTGAAATTCATTTGCCTTGTCGTTAAAATAATATAATAATCATATTTGAGTTCTTCTGCAGAATAATAGAGCAGCATACTGCATGGAATTTGTGCAATTACTGTTGAGCAGTTTAGATGCAATTAAGTCAAGGATGGCACCTGAAGACATTACCAAAATTAATCTCTCAATGCAGTGATTAGATGAATTGTGGATTGTGATTCTGTGATATCAGGAAGATCACCAGTTTAAATGAATGCCCAGAATACTTGGCATACTACAGCTGGTCTCATTGCCTCTAGCCTAGAGAGAGAAATCAAAGTGAATTTTTTCTAAGCGTGAGTTTGGGGTTCGGCAGAGTGTAGAATGGAAAACCAGGAAATGGCAGAGACGAGGCAATTCAACGTAACACATTGTCTTATTCTTTGACATTTAAGGGCTTTTCTACATATTTAATAGTTTGATATATTTGATATATATCTAAGAATTGGTAGACTGGGGTGTGGCCAGAGCAGGTTGAAGGAGTTATCAGGAATCTTGGAATCTACTTGCTATCTAGAATGCTCCTGGAGTAATTATTTTGTTTCGAGTAAAGCACAGTATGATGTGGTTTGATATAGTCAACCAGATCTTGTGAATGGTGATGAGTCTAGCTATGAACCAGGCATGTCTGAGTTATAGCACACACACCCCCCCCGCCCCACCCCAACTCCCTGGCTTGAGAGGATTAATGTGGGTAGTTATATCAGGAAGAGTCATGAGTCGAAATTGTCTTATTTGTTGACATTAAAGTGAGTGGAGTCTGAATCAATGCAGGTTTAAATTATCTGGCCTGAGCAGTATCATTGGTTCTGAGGAATGAGAAAAGGCAGGTTGCTGAGTTGGTGATGGAATAGAAGGGGCTGAGACTGTTAAAAGAGAAAATTGTAATGTCTGCATATGTGTGTTTCAGTCAGTACCAGAATAATCATCATGAGTAGCCTCACTGATGAGAGTGAATGAACATTGTGAAGGCATATATGGAATGGTGTAAAAATAGTTGATCTGAAGGGGGCAGCCATAGTAGAGTCAAGTTAGATCAAAATAAATCCCTGAGGGAGTGCACACAATCAGGTAGTAGCAATGGATCTCAAATGTACCTAGTAAAATATGCCAGGGATAGCACAGAGGGAATGACCAATGCATTATTAAAAAATAAATATTCTGGATATGGCAATTCAAAGAATCATTTAAATAAAGAAGTTACTTTCATTTATATGCTTTTCACACCCCGTAGGACCTCTTTGGGTGTCCTTAGAGAGTCTTGTTCTCTCTTCCTTGTAGCTTGTCAAAGAGCAAATGGCTGATAATCTGTGAGGCAGGTTATAAATTTCAAATTTACTTTTTAAAAACCTTGTGCCATTTGAACTGACCTAAATTTTTAAAAATTGATGCTGTTATAGGATATTGAAGCATAAGTTATGATTTACTACCACAAGAGGGTAGCAGCTGTCCAGTCTTATAGATTGTGTCTCAGCAGAAATTTCCTTTCTGGCACTATTAATCGGTGCTTTCTCAAATAATTTTCATGGCTAGTCACATGGACCATATCAATATTTTGAAAAGCATTTTTAAAAATTGTGTTGGATTCTGAATAAAATTGCAAGGTACCTTCTAATTTCTACTGGTTGTGTTTGACTTGTCCATATGTTTATGTGATATATGTACTCACTACCAGACCTAGAGCATTGCACATGCCCAACCAGTTATGAATTCAATTTTAAAATATATAAATTGTTTCTTCATACCGCAAAACTGGAATATGACGGAAAAGAAAGATGTTGCAGAAGCTTTTTGACTTCCACTTGTTAAGACAATGCAAGAATGCCTAATTTTAAACAATGGGAACACTTTATACTAAAGAGAAAAAGGTGCTGGTTGGATGGCAAGTTGACTGTAACAGAGGTGTTGTCATGCAGAAAGCAGTGGGGAACAAGAGGCTTCCAAAACTTCTGGGTAATTTGAAAGAAATGCATTTTGATGGAATGAACTGTAATGACCTACTATGCATATTTCTGATACATAGATAATGCATATGTGATCTTTGAATCCATAACCTTGTTAGGGCACTTTAATACACCCCAACCCATGTTCCTGTTCACTTTTGAGTTGAAACAGTCTAAGCACTTCATTCCCTAGATGTGCTATTTGAGAAATCTGCTAATAAGAAAATTCTGCACTTAGTCTACTGCAAACTTGCTTTCAATGTATAGATGTTTGGATTTATATAGCCTCCACAA